AAAATATATATATATATATATAAATATATATATATATATATATATATATATATAAATTTCTTAAAAGGATAACATTTCTGTCATCATGTATACCCTGAAATTGTTCCAAATCTGTATGAATAACCATACAGTTGACGGTAGCTACTTCCACAGTTTTCATGCTATGAAAGTCAATGGGTACCGTCAGCTGTTAGGTTTGCCGCATTCTTCATAATGTATTTTTCTGTGTTCAGCAGAAGAAATAAATTCTTATAGGTTTGGAACAATTTCAGGGTAAATTAAATTAAATTAAATTAAATTAATTTTGTTTAGTTTTGTTTGTTTTGTTTGAATAAAATTTATTTTATTTCATTTTAAATAATTGTATTTTATTATATCCCTTAAATATATTAATTTTATTGTATCCCTTTAATATATTTATTCTCATGCACTATCACTAATTACTGTTCAGTTTTCTGTCAAAATAAATACAAGGGTGTCTTCTTACTGTAATATTGGATTGTTTACATTTTACCGTGGTGATGTTAATGCTGTCATTTGCATATGCTGTCATCGGTTTACTATATGCAAATGAAGACATGCTCGCTGTCTGACAATCTGACAACTGTCTGCTTTTAAAACTCTAATACAGATGACACTCTGCAATACAGAACATGGAATATTAAAAACTGGGAAAGCAACAAGCATGTAGCAGGCGCTTAATTTAGCATGAAAGATGGGTTCTCTCCACCAATTATATATTCACAGTTTTTATGTTGTTCAGCTCGATGCTTGTTCCCTTTCTGAATGTACATAAAGAAGCAACCCTGTGTTTTATCTGTTCTCAGCTTGTGTCTTTGAATTAGCCGAAGACTGTAAGTTTAAGATGCTGTCACCCTAAAGTGAGATGGAGCACACTTGACAAGTTGTGTGGGAAGATTAAATATTTTCCCTATACAGCTTTTGAGACTGAAATTTGGAGGGGAAAAAAAAAATCTGAATTTTGCTTCTAAGTACTTATATTGAGAAAACAGAAAATAGACCTAAGGGCTAAAACACAGCAGATATATATATAACTGTTATGCCACAAGCATTTTATAACAACTTTCAAAAGTTTTACAGTGAATTTATAGGTCAGGCTACCAAGGGAATTACATATACTCTGATTCTAAGCCACACTTAAAATGTACAAACTACCGTTCAACAGTTTCAAGTCTGTGGGATTTGTTTGAAAGAAGTCTGTTATGCTCACCAAGGCTGCGTTTATTTTTAACTGTCATGTTAGGTTCTGGTCATTTTGACCCAGAGAGGATTTTCTTTTTACTGAAAATGCCAAGTATAGCAGTTATATTATGTAATAGTTGTGTTATCACATTGGACTAAAACTTACTGACTTTGTTCACACAACTTCCTCCACCCAAAAAAGTTATTTCTTTCTTTCTTTATTATTATTATTATTATTATTATTATTATTATTATTATTATTATTATTATTATTATTATTATCATTATCATCATTATTATTATTATTATTGTTGTTGTTGTTGTTGTTGTTGTAGACAGCTGTGGTGTTTCCAGTAAAAAATAAAAAAAAAACAATTCTACAAAAATTTATAATTTTATAAAATGCTATGTTTTCACCAAATATTTGATTCAATCTGTTTATTAACTTGTTTTGTTTTAATTAGCACAGGTCTTGTATTTCTTTTTGGAATGTAGTGATTTTGCCTTCATTGATCTGAACTCATGCACCCCAGTTTTTGAATACTGCAAAAATATCTACAGGTTGTTGTTGTTGTTTGTTTGTTTAAAAAAAGAGCATAAGCTCAGATCAATGAGGCCTTCAACAAAGAATAGGCCTCATATATATAGGTTGATAAAATGATTGAATCCACGATTTGGTTAAAAAAAGAAAAAGAAAAACCATTATAATTATATATATATATATATATATTGCTAGTAAATCTCTTATATAGCATACTAAGAGATTTACAAGCAATCTTTTAAAGGCTGGTCATTAGTAAAGGATTTTCAGCAAAAAAAGTACACAAAAATTTGTATTATTATTATATAAATGAATGCTACTATTGCATTAAATACATTAGAAGTGATATTAAATACTTTTACATTTTACATTACATCAAAAGATTTCCATTTTAAATAAACGCTGTTTTGAATTTTCTATTTGTCAAAGAAAAAACGGTTTGCACAAAAGTAATATATATATAAACGACAAATAATATATATATATATATATATATATAATATATATATATATATATATATCATCCATCATGATATATTTATGAAATTCGTCCTGTGTTTCCATCAGTTCAGTATATCTTACTCACAATGCTCTGCCTTTGAGCACCTTTAGCCAACGGCTCTTTCCACCACAGTGTTTTAACAAGCGCTGCTGGGGATTGATTCTACCTGCTGCCATCAGACAATACAACAGCTCCTCTTTCCATCCCACTGTTCCTCCAGGTGATTCCCCAGTCAGGGTTACAGCATTACACACAAACAGTTCTTTCTCACTCACGCGTTCAGTAGAAACACCTGCGAATGCATTTAGATATGGACATTATACTTGAACGTCAGCTCTTACTCTGTTGGTTTACACTGTATGTGTGTGTTTTGTGCCTTGGCATCAGTAAAATACCTCTATATGTCTGTTTGTTTTGCTGTCTGAGTTCAGTATTCTCTGTGTGTTCACTCAGTGACCTCCAGATCCACAGGAGATGGTGAGTGCTGTTTATTTGTGCCTCTTTGTGAGGAAGTTTTGTTGTGGGACTTTAGTCCTTGGTTTTTTAAGCCAAGGACAAGCGCCAAAAAGTGAGAGAAAGAGGTGCAAGCTGACAGCTATGAGCAAAGCAAATAATATACTCAGAGACCTGCTACAGCATCAATTTTAATTTTCTCTCGTGTCATACCAAAGCTGTACAACTTTATTCCTTCTGTGAGATACAAGACATTGGACCCCATTGACTTTCATGGTAAGGGCAACAAAAACACTAAGATTTTTTTTAATTTTTTTTTTCAAAATGTATTATTTTGTGTGTTCACAGAGAAAGTCATACAGGTTTGATGTGATGCTGATGACAGAATTGTCATTTTTAGGTGAACTGTCCATTTAAGACAAAAGTGCTAGTGACTGTATTGTGACTTGCAGGCTGTCATAAATCCACCATTGCTCTCTGGTGCACAAATGCAAGCACAGTGTCCTCAAGCTCCTGGAACAGTGTGATGCAGTTGTATTGACATATAATCCATGACCATCTGGCTCCACACCTCTGCGCATACAGTACAGTTGCTCTTTCTCAGGGTTTCCCTTCATACCCTCTGCAGCAAGTTCATCTCAGTTTTTCACAACACTTCTCCAGGACCGTTTCCCCTCAGCTTCCTTTTTATACGTTTTTTAATATGAGATATGTCACCACAAATCAAACTTTGATGTCTTCTTTTTACTACAAGGTGACCAGTCTTACATACCAGTGTTGTTAGTGTTAACTAAAACTATTAAAATAAATTTTGGCAGTTCAAAACTGAAATAAAATATACATATTAGATTAAAAAAAAGAATTGTCGTCTTTGCAAATGAGTTGAAGTTGAATTAAAATGACTAAAACTGAAATAAAAATAAATTAAAGATAAATATAAATAATAGTAAAATGACATAAGCACAGCAAAATTACTAAAATTAAGCAAACTTAAGTTATGTGTGGTATATGTGTGATATCTTTGAATAGCATCAACTGCCTTTCCCAGAAATCCATCAGCATATTGTTATGTGTGAATCTAATTGACTGGCATTACTAGGTTTAATTGGCAAGCTGTGTAATATGACATATGTCCACTGCGGTAGGAGTTCATCTGACAGGAGCTGGCAACAGCAAGGCCACCTACAACACTCCCCAATATGTAAGAGACAGAAGGGCCCACCATCCTTCAGCTAATGTTTACCACCATAGGCGGAGGGTGAACCAACTCCAGGGTAAGACTAAAAGCAGCCAAATCTATTAACCACAAACATCATAAACCTGTCTTTTTAGGCAAGAACCAGACATGGGTGTCATGTAGGCTAATAAAATATGTTTAATGGGACTTAATTTGTATTTAATGTGATTACAAGTTAATTAAAACATTAGAAATGGATAATTATATAACGTTTTCTTCCCACGGTTATTCAAACTGCGAATAAATGATGTACAGAAATGACATTATCACTAACTCTGATCTATCGCACTCTCAGAAAAACAAAACTATCGTTATAATCACTGAAGCTGTCTACACTGCGAAATTAATCCCTTACTTACATTGTACGTACATCTGCGCTTTGATGTTTATGATGAGAGAATTCGCGGAATTCAGTCAGCGAGCGCGCGTGCACTCAACAAAGCTGATGAGTTTCAGCGATGACTCATCTGAACGCCTCTGATTGGCCATTGCATTCCTAGGCTCAACAGAATCGTGTGTGATTGGTTATAATGCGCAACACTGTAAAAACACCTAAAATGAAATATGGTGCAACATGAGCAGATCTTAATTTAATGCACAGTCAACACTTTTTATTCATTTACACTTTGTTAGCAGCAGACGTAATAGATTTAATTTGCATGGGCATTTTTGTCCAATTTAGTGTCATTTTTGCCCCAAGACCCCGTGACCAGAGGAAGGCTTATAGCAACAGACGTAATAGATTTAATTTGTTTGTGCATGGGCATTTTTGTCCAATTTAGTGTCATTTTTGCCCCAAGACCCCGTGACCAGGGGAAGGCTTTACACACGCTCCACCTATGTTTACCACTAAGCTGTAAAAGACTCCGTCCAGGGTTGAGAAATTGACCTCACACACAGACACAACATAAAGGCAGTCAATATGCCACTGGAAATTATGTCATACTCATATGAAATCTGCAAGAAATGGGGAAATTGTATCACTTATTTTGAAGTCACTCACAGAAAGCACATAGTTTGTGTTCAAAAATAAGCCTAAAATATAAAATAATGAGCCTAATTAGGGATAGTAAAGATCCACTTACAAAAGCACAAACATAGAATACATAGAACATAGAAAAAGCTGTGTGATATAACTAACTGTGAATTATATAACCCACTGTGCGTTATAAATAATTACTATTTTTCAAAGTGTGTGATGAGTTGATGAGTAAAACAATTTCTATATTGCGTGAATGTAAATTTTTTTTCTTCAGGAACTGTATGGGCTACAGTCAAAATTCCGTAAGTATTAGAATGTCATAGTATATGTGCTTAGACCCTGATGATTGCTGGTTGTGGTTTATTTTATCTCTCTCAAGTTTAAGGACACCAAAATGTTTGCAGATCTTTCGTTTGTGCATTTCCCTTTAGCGCACACACTTCAGCAGCATCTATGCTATAATTTGCATTCGTTTGAACCAAATAATCAAAAACAAACATTTGAAGGATGATGCATCTAAAAGTAAACAACCTAAACGCCCACAGATTTGTGAGAGAGCAAAGATCAAATCAGCCTACTTCTTTAACAGTAAAAAACATACAATTATAGAAAGTTGGTAGAAAGACAAGTTAGAGGTGCTGTAAGTGATACTTTGTATGGAATATCATGCATAAAATGCCCATACTTCCTGACAGATGTAGCTGAAATAGTCTTGAGAGTCACACCTGTCTCTGTGACAGCCAAAGCCCTGGAAATGGTGAGGAAAAAAAGTCAAGATGTTGTAGTTACAGCATCCACCAGCAGGGGTTCACTAGGCCAGCCAAACTCTGACCCTAGATTTGTGCTGCATCCCAGTTCTCCTACTTATACGATGCCCTAAAAGTGTGAACTCTTACTGTGAAGAAGTAGATGTAGAAGAGGAAGCAAGCTTCCGGACATACTTACATGTAATACAATTGTGATTTGTTACATCTACCATGTTTGTAGTTCTGTTTGTTCATGTTTGTGGATCTGAACTGAAGCACGATGGGTTTTTGCCAATATAAGCCATTTAAGATCTTCAATATAAGACTATCCAGGAACTTTTGGCATACTGTTTTTAACATACTATGCTTTGGGACACGCTTATTCAAATCTCGTAAACTATATGGGATGAATATTATGCACACTGGTATGCAGGGTTTGGTTTCCTGCTCTGTTTGTAGGCTGGGGATTGAAAGACATGGTCAGACGGATATTTTTACAAGTGTGTTTTTGTTTTTACCTCACAAAATGCTTAAAGGGATAGTTCACCCAAAAAAATCTGTCATTAATTAGTCACCCTCAGGTCATTCCAAACCGGTGAGATCTTCGTTCATCTTCAGAACACAAATTAAGATATTTTTGATGAAATCCGAGAGCTCTCTAACCCTCCCATAGACAGCAAGGTTCCGAAGATGAACAAAGGTCTTACAGGTTTGGGGCGACATGAGGGTGAGTAATTAATGACAGAATTTTCATTTGTGGGTGAACTATCCCTTTAATTAAAGATATGTTACATGGGAAAAACATCTGAGATGTTGTGAACCTCATGTCGTTTCATCGGTCAACTCTACTGAGACACTTAGAGAACTTGATCTACAGCATTAGCTACTGTACATGACCTGCGGACTGGACATGGGCCGCTGGGAGTCGATCCAGCAGGTCAGTTCACACAGGACTACTTCCACCATGTGGGTATTTCTTCAGGGCATTTTATAGTAGGCAAAAGACAGTGTAATTCTTCCCTGAAAAAATCATTGACATGGCCAATTCGGACAGGATTAAAATCACAGAGGAGCTGTTGTAGTTATTACATTACCCCGTCTCCCCATGTAAAACTAATCCTGTCCGAATAGGGCTGTATATAATTGTTTCTACATTAGTTAATAGGCTTTCTTCCCTCCAAACATTCCTCTGTTGTGGCCAAACGATGTGTCCGTTATAAATTGGGTCTATAGAGACAGTACCTCGAGTTTTGTGGAGGAAAATAAACTAGAACAAATTCGACTTTGGCAATTTAGTCCTGGCAATGCTAAGCTATGGGGGCATGTCACTATTTGTTAAGATGGGGAATTTTATGTGGACGGCCTTATAGGTTTTACGGCTCTCTCCCACATGTGAAATTGTTGCCGAATTGCTCTCGCTGTTCGAGGCTGGGATAATTTCGTTTGACAACACCTGTTCTAGTGCAACATATTATTTTTCAGTGGGAATGATCTTCTCCCCTCTAATACAAGAGAACGGTCCAATACCATCCATACAAAACACTACCCACAAACCCTTTAGAGTCCGGCCTCTGTGTATAACTGGTTTCTGTATGACTGCTTCTCAAAAACAAACATGCTTTATACCAAATGCAGTGTTTTATTTGACTATTAAAGTAATAGTACATCCAAAATGAAATTAGGTGAAAATTTAGCATTACATCACTTGCTCACCAATGGATCCTCTGCAGTGAATGGGTGCCGTCGAAATGAGAGTCCAAACAGCTGCATCGTAATAATCCACAAACGATCCAAACGACTCCAGTCCATCATTTAATGTCTTGTGAAATGAAAAGCTGCATGTTTGTAAGAAACAAATCCATCATTAATGTATTTTAACATTAAACCTTTACTTCGGGCCAAAATATGAGTCCATAATCCAAAATAATGTTTCCTTCAGTGAAAAAGTCCAGCACTTGTCGTGTCACATCAAAATCAATCAACATGTTTGTTTAGAACAGTTTTGGACTGTTTTCAGTTGCACTTGGTCTGTGCATATTTCTCTCTTGATTCAGACGAGAAAGCAATATTATGGATGGAGGACTCACATATTGGACCAATGCAATTGTTTAAAGTTAAAAACATTTTGATTAATTTGTTTAACAACATAGCTTTTAATTTCACAGGACATTAACTGATGGACAGGAGTTTTGTGGATTACTTGTGGATTATTGTAATGTCCCTCTTTACACCATATAGGCATGTGCGTAAAATAAAATAATAAAAATAAACATTCTCTTTAAAAGTTCAGCACCCCTTACATGACTTCTCTAACAGAAACCCTACAGCATTCAATTCTTCATATATTGTTGATTTATACATTGATTAAATAAATAAATACAAGACAGATGCTTGGTTTGCATGGTGATTTATGCCCTTCCAACAAATGTAAACTTTTCAAAGTCACACTTCAGTATTATTCCAACTAATTATGTGCCAGTGTTATTTTCTCTGTAAATATGTTCATGCATATAATTCAGCGTACATAACTAGAATTTAAGAAATTACTTGATTTAATAAGGTGCTCAGAACAGCACTGTAGTGAAGTGTCTAATAAGCCTAATCAGAATCCAGAGAAAATCAAGCCAAAGCCTTTGTAAATGAAGGAAGCTTGATCAGAATAAGGGTCTCAACATGTAAACAGCTTATACTCATTACTAACAGAAACATGCATCAGCAGTATTAAAGTCTTTTTTTCAGCTTTAATGGTTGTGTTGTATTATATTACGGGTGCAAAATTAAAACCCAGAAATTTAACCATTGTGTCTAATGTTTTCATTTCTTTACAAAAGTGTTTAAATTGTCAGATTTGACTGAATTGTGTCTTACACACATTTTTTTTAAATGTATATATGCATTATATTAGATGTTATATTTTATTTCATTATTCAGTTTTTTTTAATATGCATAAAACTATAATAATGCTTCTCTACTACATGACAGATATCACTGACAGCAAATAAGAGACAGGAAAGTGGCCCACACTTTTTAGCCAATCAGAAATTCTTCCTATCTGTCAATCATTTTGTGCATTCAGAAATGCTTACATCTGATTGGCTAACATTGTCTTTGAAGGGTGAGGTTGTGGAAATGAGGCATGTGATTGAAGTCAGCAAAATGGCCTTACAGCACCTGTATAGGCATGACATTTTTTTCTGCACATTTTTTATACAGCGTCACCGATTTTTAGTTGGATTACTCTACCACTGGGTCACTGGACAAATGCCTTTCTCTTCTTGAACTCTCTAAATTTTAAAATTAAGTGTTTGAGATCATTGCCCAAGCAAGATTTTTTTAAGGTTTCCAGCACGTTCTCTTGCAGTGTTTTCCTGTGTATTGCACCATCCATTGTTCCTTTTCTTCCTTTTAACGACATGCATACTCCATGCTGACAAGAAAAGCACACTTCATGATGCTATCACCAGCATACTTCACTGAAGTAATTGAGTTATTTTGCCCCACACATCACTATGACCGCCCCCCCCCCCTTGTTCCCATGCATCTAACCACAAAAAAACTTATCCTTGTACATTGAAACTGGGTCATTATTAAAGCCTGTTCCCAAAATGCACTCAGGACTAATAACATGGACCAATAATAATAATTGTTATTATTATTTTAATTTTATTTTTTGCAAATGTTTGTTTTGCATTTTTGAAAAGGTTTTTAACCAACTCAATGTCATTTTAGTGTATGTATTAAACTGAAATTAAACGTTTTATTTGGCCAAAAACCAAAAATGCTTTTTTTATTTAATAATCAATTACTTTATCACTTTTATTTAGTAATCAACAGTAAAAAAGAAAAAAAATGCATTGCACAAATTTAAATTGCACACATCCTCAAATTTCTGTGCATCAGTAATGCGTACATTTTTAAGTGTGACTTAAGTGTCCGGGTCCATGGCTATTCGTGTTGTTGAGCAGTGCTCTGGTGTTTTGCTCTCCGTTACTGAACTGTATGTAAATGTCAGGCCAGCTTTCAAATATTACAAGAGCTCTCAGCAGTCCAGGCTGCTCCCCATATTGCTGAACGAATCAACTATAGCCTTAAAGTTGTTGTCTGGTGGACTAAAGCCTGTTTTACATGAAGACCTGCATTATTCTTTGAGCTGAAGAGGGATTTTACCATTCCTTTTCTTTCCCAGAGTACTCTTCTGTTTGAATGGTTCTTCACCCTTTTATCTTTTAGCAGTTTCTCTTTTTTTCCACACGCAGAAGGCCTGTTTGAAATGGGCTAGAATCTCTGTATACCAGTTTTATTAACGATGGATTCAGGCCTGCATGTTAGTAGACTAAAGACTTTGATGAGTGTAGCCGTGAGGAACAGATTGAAAGTTTAATGATATGGTCATTTCTGGCTGCCCTTTGAAGCTGTATTACATAAAAATAGGCTTGCATTTGAAGAATTCACAAAACAATATATAATAGTTCATTGTTTTCATCCTAAAATGATTTGAGTGACTGTTTAAACTAATGACTTTTTGTGTTTTAACATTTAACACCCAAATGTTAACATTTTGACTCAAAAATGTGCTCTACCAAATGATTGAGGGGCTTTCAGGGGGTTAATATATATTTTTCCCACACTTGTTATTATAACTTCTGCAGAGAATCAATGAACTCTTCCCCCGTAATGATCGGCGCTTCTTCAAAAGGCTTTGAGCTCATATAGGTATGATTTCTTTCTTTGAGCATAATAGATTGTAAGTTTATGAGTCTACTTTTTTCCACTCTAGGCATGAATTTCCTCTCTTTCCCGTCTCTAATTTTCCTTTAGGAATTTGACTGACCTAGTTAACACAGTCTCGTGCACCTTAAGAATCTTATAAAGGATATTTACAGCGCTGTAGATAGATTCAGCATGATATGATTAAGTAATGAAGAGATTAATTATTAGGGTGTCAAGGAGGAAGCCTGATGCATCATTTAATGGTGTTATATGCTGAGATGAAGAGAAGATGTGAGGATTTGTGCATTTTGAGGTTGTTTTAGGCTGATTTATTGAGCAGTTTATATAATGGGTAATTTAATAATGGTTCTGGTTCAGATTTCATGTGGACGTTTGTGCGAAGAGTTGATTTTATGATGGTGTCTTTTTTTATGCATGAAAAAAATATTCCAAAATTAGTTTTTGTGCTGGCAAGGAATCTGTCTAACACAACTCTATGTGGGTATATGCAATGTTTTTGAGAAGTTGATATGATTGTGGCATACTATACTTCATATAAAATGACTTTAAATAGCATTTTGCTATTTTAAAGTCATGCATGCAGCTTTTATGATCAAATGTACAATCATATTAACTGCTTCATTTGTCACAACATAGTGCCTAATAACAAATGCAATTAAGGCTAAATGTTTTTTTTATGGTAATGAATGAAATTGTGACCAATTACATGATCTGCAATATGCTAAAATTAATCTTATATATTAATCTAAGATATATATATATATAAAAAAGTGCATCAGCTACCCATGCATTCCTCCTTAGCAGCTGTTTTCAACCTTTTTAGATTGGGAATCCTCATTCGCTGTGCATTTTTTAATTTGATAATGAGCTTTTTAAGTAAATGTATACAGTATAAGACATTCTGCCAGATAAATAATGCATTTAATTTTTTACTAAATTGCATTGCACCATCTGAAAGGATATACAGTAAATATGAATTCAGAAGGTTAACAGGGTTTACAGTTTTGCAATTTAATTTAACAAGCCTTGTGCTCAAGGTTGTGAAAGTACAACTAATATCTTAGAAAGAGAAATCAATGCAGTAAAAGATATTTCTATGAACTTTTCATTTGCTAGTTATTTACTAATGCAAAATCATGGTAACAGGATTGACATTTTAGCCCCCTACCCACAAATCATAACTAAAGATAAACTAAAGTGAATAATTCAACTTGTTTTTTCCTTGTACAGGTGATTCTCATGCTGACCAAACTATATGACTTCAATCTGGGCAGTGTCACAGAGAGCTCCTTATGGAGGTAAGAATACAGATTCAAGGATCTTTATGTGTCCATGCTATGGTGAAATGTATTACTAGCATGTTATGTAATATACCTTTGTGACTGTTTGTTCTCAACTTGTTAAAACAAGTAGATAAAATATTTATACATTGTGCAAATGATGTGATGCAGTGTCCCTGTGGTAGCTCAACAAACATCAGAGAGAAACAGATACAGTGTGCTTCAAAGTTTCTCATATAGTCTCTCTGGAGTTGTGTTTGTTTAACCAGCGTGACAGTGCAAACACGTGACTTTTAAATCAACTCTGTATTAATAGTCTGATGAAGCTACATTAGCTGATTAATGGCGTGTCTGTCGCTGATTGTCTTTATACCCTCTGCAGATATCCAGCACACAGCTCATTGATCTGAGTGGACATAACGTATGTGTACTGTATTAGAGCTGCTTGAATGGAGCTGATGTTGGAAATCTTAAAGGGATAGTTACCCCAAAAATTATTTTTTTCCCCCTCATGTTATTCCAAACCGGTGTGACTTTTCTGAATTTTGAATAATTTTTGTTTTTGTTTTGGGTTCCCTTGACTTCCATAGTATGGGTTAAAAATACAATGGAAGTCATGTGAGTAATATGTCTCATATGTCATTCAAAACCTGTATGCACTTCTTTCTTCTGTAAAACACAAAAGAAGATATTTTGAAGAATGTTGGTTTCAGTTTTGGGTCCCAGTGACTTCCAAAGAATAGATTCAAAATACTATGGAAGTCAATGGGACTTCCTGCTGTGTTACCGACATTGTTCAAAATGTTTTCTTTTGTGAAAATTCTGTCATTATTTACTAATTTCATTCCAAATCTTTATTCATTTATTTCTTTAGTGGAATACAAAGGAAGATATTTTGAAGAATGTTGGCAAGCAGATGGTTTCAGATCCCATTGGCATTTGTAGTCAATTGGACCCTAAATAGTTATCAACATTCTTCAAAATATCGTATTTTGTGAAAACTCTGTTATCATTATCATTTATGATAATGAGTACATTTTTCATTTTCATTTTTGGGTGAGCTATTTCTTAACTTCCACTAATCTAAAGCTCTACTACCGTCAAACAAATGGTGAAACTGGCTTCAGATCACCAGATCTGGCAGCTTCTACCAGCAGCAGATTGGAGTGGAGATGCTCAGCAGACTGTGTGGCCCTTTAGCTTGGAAAGATGGAGCTTCCATCGGAAATGCAATGGCCAAACACTCTGTAATATAGCAGGACAGGAAAAGATCCAGCTGAGCTCATAACAAAGATCTCTCGCCAAAAAAAAAAAATAATACTGATATGTTCAGCAATCTCTCAGACAATGCTTTGCGGTTGACCCAGCATTTCAGTAATGAAGTTAGTGACCCCGCATAAAATATGCTGGTAACCAGGTTATTAATCAAATGGCAGTATGGAGTGTAGTTACCTACCCAATCATTTTAGTTGAACGGGAAGTGATAATTAGATTTCTAGATGATGTCTGTCTTTGTGTGAGTCTGTGTGTGAGTGAGTGCTCTGCAGTAATGTCTGCCCTGTGTGTGTGTGCACGCTCTGCAGTTAATCATGTAAGAGTTCACCTATATATCTAAATGAAAAATGGGTTATTTTTCCATGCAGGCTAAGATTGAAACACATCTGTGTTAAAACAATCCTAAATTCCAATTCTAAATGTATACAGTAAACTGTTTAAAAGTTTTTTTTTCTTTTTTTTTTCTTTCTTCTTTTTGAGAAATAAATTAACACTTATTCTGCAAAAATACATCAAATTAATTGAAAGGTGACAGTAACTTTGCATTGTTACAAATTAATTAAATACTGTAAATACATACATACTTGCTGTTCTTTTGAAGTGTACATTCATCAAAAAATCCTGAAAAAATAATCACAGTTCCCACACAAAATAACAGCACAGTTGACTTTGTTATTAATAATAATAAGAAGAAGAAGAAGAAGAAGAAAGCTGAAAATATAGCTTTGACATCACAGGAGGTAAATTGCATTTTGAATTATATTAAAATAGAAAACTATTGTAGTAATATTTTACAATATCACTGTTCTGAGAATCTAATCTTTCTGTTGAGCATTGTAAACTGCCCTTTAGCATACTCGTCTCCACTTGAAATATCCCACTGTTCTTAACGTTTTGATGTATTATGAGTTTGTATGTCTTTGTTGAGCTGATCATGCCTATTTGCCATATTTTAACATATTTCTGTCATGGCAGCAGGATTGTCCTTGCTCTTTTAATGTATAAGTTGTTTATACTACATAACATTCTCAATGCAAAGAGACCCAGTACACATAGCCCATATTTGGAAAAAAAATTGATCATATTAACATAAACTAGGCATTAGCCATCGTCCCTGTGCTGTTTGACTCTCTTTCCTCTGTTAATCCCAGAACTTGAGTTAACTATTCCTTATGGCCCAAACGGAACTGTTTCACCTCCATAGTTGTTGAAAGTTATGTTTAAAAGTAATGCATTACTTTTGCGCTACTTTTTGTCACCTGAGCTGGGTTTGTTTACTTCATTTTAATAACAAAAAAAAGAAAATAAATATTTTTGGCAAAAATAGAAAACTATTGTAGTAATATTTTACAATATCACTGTCATTACTGTATTTTTGATCAAATAAATGCAGCTTTGGTGAGCATAAAAAAAACCGTATAGCAAAAACATTAAAACATATATATTCTGGGTGGTTATAATATAATATAATATATGTGTGTAATGGATTAAATGTGTAAATTTATGAAAAAGGTGCATAATTGTGCGATTTTGAGACAGATAGTCTGTGAATTGCGTCTTTAAATATTCTGAGCAATTTGATGTGCTTTCTGCCTTATACAGGTTATCATGCAAGTGCACAGTATCTGTGTATAGATACAGTGCAGTATATTGTAAGTGTAAAATTGTCTCATGGGAGTTATCAGCTCTAATGGATGGTAATATAATAACCTAGGCCATATTAAAGGTCAGGTGCATCCTACGGTGTTCCCTCAAGATATCTGCATATTTCAAGACAATTATTTCCCCCTCACCCGGTTAGATAAATTCAGGAGTGCTTTAATGAATGTAGTCAAATACCTTCCGTGCCAGATAATTAAACTTTCATGGGAAGTTATAAAGAACCAAGACACTTCCGATACTGTAGGCACTGTAAGCAGATTTTGGAGTAGTATATATAGCGTATAGTGAAACACTTTAAGCATATGGTAAACAAAGAATATGCTATTTCTGAAACCAGGAGTCTTTGTGAAATCATTAAATATTATTATAAAAAAGCACCAGCCTCTAGTACCCTTAAACACTTACAAAACCAAAATGAGAGCGAGAAAGAAAAAACAAACAAACTCTGAGCTCTTGGTAAGTACTTAATTTATGATATTGTTGGCTTTAAACAGAGCTTCAGTGCGATAGCTGCTCTTATTGAGGTGCTGGTTATTAAATGTAATTTTGAGTCTGAAAGAAGGTTTGATTAATGCACATAGACACAAATTATACAGCCTTGTGTACTTACACCTCAGTAGTTTTCAGTCTGTGCTGGTGAGTGGAAAAAGGAAATAACAAGATTATTAACTTTCCATTTCTTCATTGCAAATGTCCTTCATTTCTTCAGAAAAGATGTAAAAATGGTTGTCAAATAATCTAAAAATGTGCTTTGTGTGGTAACACTTAAATTAACTAGTTTTATTGAAGTCAAGATACTGTTTAATATGAATTAATCGATCAGTTTTACAATGAAAGGCATTTAAAGGAATTATAGTTCAGTACAAGTTTAAGATCCATCTACAGCATAATGCCTCCGAAACTTTCGTCCGTCATAAAAAAAATTCGGATCAGGTTCGATTCTCTGCGTTTTCACATCCATAGCAAGCATTTTGATAGGAAAGTATGACGAACACGAATACGAAAAAAAAAATATACGAACATTTCGGACTCAGTGTGCAAGGACCTTAAGTGTCAGTGAATAAATGGGAAAACAAAGTAACTTACGATATTATTTGAAAAATTAACTGATATTTTCTTGTAAATTTTTAAGTTACTTTACTAGTTACTTAAAAGTAATCTGATTACGTAATTTGCGTTGCTTGTTATGCGTTACTCCCAACACTGTTCACCTCAATACAAGGTCATGTTTATGACCAGGCCTCATTCACAAGGAATTTTTGGGGGTAAACAGTATGACTGTGGTGAGTAACATACATGTAATGGTGTTTGTGGTGTTGTAAAATATATTAAATTAATAATCAAAAATTCTACTTGTAATATTAAAAATCAAGGAGAACAACAATTTTCTAAGTAAAATGGACACATTTAATTCATGTAATTAATGAACTGCGTGAGAAGAGTAACTCTTATTAATATTTACTTGTAATATTTATATGTTTTATAGTCATTGCACATAAATCTAGAAATATTGAGTACATTTTTATCTAAAAGTTCAGCGTGCTTGAATCCACGCATGCGTGTTTGGACGGTTGGGCTTGTCACGGAGGATCAATCAATCAATCAATCAATCAATCAATCAATCAATCAATCAATCAATCAATCAATCAATCAATCAATCAGACCTGTCTGTAACAAGCAGTCCACTGACTTGAACAGACTTGACTCACCGACGCTAGTTTCTGCTCTTTCAAACACTCGACTGACGTAATAGAGAGAATTTAGACCAATAACTTTGTAGTAATCTCATTAATTGTCGTGTTCAGGTGCATCCTACGGTGTTCCCTCAAGATATCTGCATATTTCAAGACAATTATTTCCCCCTCACCCGGTTAGATAAATTCAGGAGTGCTTTAATGAATGTAGTCAAATACCTTCCGTGCCAGATAATTAAACTTTCATGGGAAGTTATAAAGAACCAAGACACTTCCGATACTGTAGGCACTGTAAGCAGATTTTGGAGTAGTATATATAGCGTATAGTGAAACACTTTAAGCATATGGTAAACAAAGAATATGCTATTTCTGAAACCAGGAGTCTTT